TGTCTCAAAAGAATTGTGGGTGTGACTTTTCTTAAACCAAATAGACGCAACTTAAATTCATAAGAAAACCACAATGTTTTAATAGAGTTGTACTGATAAAAACGTCATATACTTAGATTTCAAGACTGAGATTGCTTAAATGACTAAGTAGCCTCTGTAACCCTCATCGTAACAGTAGGAAGCATCAGAGAAAGATCTTCAGCTGTAAATATTAGTTTTTCCTTCTGGAAAAGGAACATCTCAGAAAACAAAGGCAAGAATTCAAGAAGGTGGAGCTTAGGGCCTTAGAGAGCAAGGGAATGAGGATGTGACACCAGCCTAATCCAGGATGACTTCCTGCCCCATAATACAAAGACCTTGAACAGACAGATACAGAGGATTTCAGGAGTGTCATAGGCCAGTGGCAGCTGTGTTTCACATTCATTCCTTGTTCTCTGATGGGAATATCTATTTCAAGGATCCTTGGCTTGGCACAGTGGCTCACACCTATAATCCTAGAACACTGGGAAGCCGAGGTGGGTGGCTGACTTGAGTTCAGGAGTTCCAGACCAGCCTGAGCAAGAGTAAGACCCTGTCTCTACTAAAAATAGAAAAAACTAGCCAGCTACTCAGGAGGCTGAAGCAAAAGGATTGCTCAAGCCCAAGAATTTGAGGGCTTGACATTCTATCACGATATTCTACGAGGTTGAAAGAGTGAGACTGTCTTAAAAAAAAAGCTCAAAAGAATCCTATACATGCCTTATCATTAAACACAAATATGGAGCACCTGGGGACAGATAGTGTTTTTAGTGCATAGACCTCTAGAAGAACAAGAAGAGCAAATATGGACTCGGTGCCTGTAGCACAGTGGTTACAGCACCAGCCACATTCGAGGCTAGCGGGTTTGAACCTGGCCTGGGCAAGCTAAACAACAATGACAACTGCAACAACAAAAAGATAGCTGGGCATTGTGGAAGGCTCCAGTAGTCCCAGCTACTTGGGAGACTGAGGCAAGAGGATTGCTTAAGCCCAAGAATTTGAGGTTTCTGTGAGCTGTGATGCCAGGGTACTCTACCAAGGGTAACACAGTGAGACTCTGTCTCAAAAAAAAAAAAAAAAAAGGAGAAAATATGAAGACATTGATCTGATCTTATTATAAGATCCCAGACTAACATACCATTATTACATGAGACTTTTGGGGATCTTGAAAACAAAAGGAATGGTAATTATTGTGGCCAAAAGATAGACTACAGGAGACTACAAAAATGAATTACTCTACGTAGCTCCTTCCATCAAGAGATGTTGTCATTGAATACAGGCTGATCTTGTGACTTATTTCATCAGTGATATGCAGCAGAATTAACATGCAGCAGCAGTATTCTAGGCCTAGAATTTCAGGCCTACACCACTTTTACTCTCTCTGGACATGTCAACCACCACCATGTGAACATTCAGGGCTACCTGCTGGATGGGTGAGAGATACATGGCTTAGTCACCTCGTTATCCTCACCTTTAGCTGATCAGCTCTCAGAGCTGTCAGACTGATTTTTAGCTGCTCAGAGACACTGCTAAATGAGCAGTTGAGAAAATGACCCAACTGATACTAGCCCAAATTGTTGGCTTGAAAATTGTGAAATATAAAAATGAATGGTTGTTCTTTTAAGCAAATAAGTTGAGAGGTTGTCTATTCATCTGTGCCTGTACTAGTTCAACACTGTTATTCAATGTAGATTGCTATCACATGAGGAAAATCTCCCACCCCACCCCCCACACATAATTTTTTTTTTCTTCAGAAGAATAATCTTGGCTATTCTTGATCTTTTGTTCAACTCTATAATTTTTTTTTTTTTTTTGCAGTTTTTGGCCGGGGCTGGCACCCTACTCCTTGAGCCACAGGTGCCACCCCCTATAAATGTTTGTTTAGTTGTTTGTCTCAAGCTGTTGGCCTGGGTAAAATGCCATGACATCAACAACCTCAAACTCTAGGGCTTAAGCAATTTTCTTGTCTCAGACTCCCAAGTAGCTGGGACTACAGGTGCCCACCACAATGCCCCACAATGTTTTTTTTCTTTTTTGCAGTTGTCTTTGTTTTAGCTGGCCTGGCCCAATTTGAACCCACCAGCCTTGGCATATTTGGCCAGGCCCTACCCACTGAGCTATAGGCACCACCCCAACTCTATAAATTTTTAATGAGCTTATCAAGTACAATAGAAACAAACAAAAAAACCTCACACTGTTGGGATTTTCATTGAAATTGTATTAAATCTATAGATAATATTTAGAATAACTGATATTTTTAATTGACTATTCATAAACATCTCTCCATTATTTAAGTATCTTTGGTTTCTTCTAATAATTTTGCATAATGTCCAACATAGACATTTTACACATCTCTTTTAGATTTATTTATTTGTAAGCACATCATATTTGTCATTAATATAAATTAGATTTTTAAAATTATACTTTCTCAACTGACTATTGTAGGTACATCAAAGAGCAAATGGCTCTCATTAATTATAATAATTAATCTGTGGATAGTCAAAGATTTTCTACATAGGCAATAGTATGGAGAAAATAGTGTTCTCTCTCTCTCTCTCTCTCTCCTCTCTCTCCCCCTTTTACACTTGATGGGGATGAGTTCAGAGTAACTGTTGCTCATACAAGACGAAGGAAGCCAGGGAAAGAATAGCAATGAAGCAAAAAGCGTCCCCTTCTTTCATTATAAATGTGAAAGTCTGAAACAAAAAAGGAATAGCTACTTACATGAGAGCTTGCAGTTTTGATCACACCAGCAGGAAATGGAAATAAATTATTATTAGGCCAGACCAAACTTACATTTTCTAGTAACAACTGTAGAATCTCTGGCACAGTGGGACATTCACTATCTTAAATGTCTCAACCAATAAAAACAACCTAAGACTTATGAAAAAAAAGTATGACACATATTTAAGGTTTCTCTGATATGGCAATGAAACTAAAGTAGCCATAAAAGCCAAAATCAAAGCAAAAGTGGGAAATCCACAAGGTAAGCAAGAAACAAAGGCAGCATTTCCCTGAGGACATATTGAGATCCCCTTCCTAGCCTCCCCTGACCCCGAGACTTTGAGTTCTGCTTTCATGACTTCTCAATTATAATGACACAAAATAAAGATCAGTCAGAGACCACCAAAGTTGGAAGACTAGTAGGACCACACCATACATAAAGCTGAGACCCTGTAGAAGGCGAATAATGGTCCTCAAAGATGTTTATGGTCTTAATTTTAGAACCTGTGACTATGTTGTCACAGGGCAAAGGAGAACTAAGAATGCAGAAGTAATTAAGATGACTAACTAGCTGATGTCAAGATAAATAGAATATCTTGAATTATTCAGCAGATTCAATGTAAGCAAAAGGGTTTTGTAAAATGCAGAAGACAGAGGCAGAAGGTCAGAGTCAGAGAGGGATTTGAGGATGTGATGCTGACTTTGGAGGGAACAGCCAGGAGCCAAGGAATGCGTGTGGCCTCTAGAAGCGGGAAAAGGAAACAGAATCGATGCGCTGCGCTGACACTTTGACTTGAACCCAGACTTCTGACCACCAGAACCACAAGATTGCAAATTTGTGTTGTTTCTAGTCACTAAGTTGGTGATAATTTGTTAAAAAAGCAATAGAAAAGTTAATAGAACCCAAAGGGGTACCATATTTTCAGAACATTGTCAATGCAGAATTATTGGGGGATTACGGTTATGAAGACAATTGAATAATGTCTATGATAAATGTCAAGATGAAGCACACACAAACATATCCGCTCTATTCAAGAGTTCAACAAACCCTTACTTGTTGAATTTAATGAAGTGAAAAGCTTCATCTACCCCCGGGAAAGGTGAGGCAAGGTTCATTAACAATTATATTTACTGGAAAAGGAAGAGCTGAGTCACTACGCCCGAAGCATGAAAACATCTTCAGTCATTCTGCAGACTTCAGAATCTTACAAACAGAAATAGATGCCCTTGTCTGCATGAGCTCCTTCCTGATCTTTCAGGAGCTTTGATCTCATGCCCCAAATGGAAGAAATTATTTTTGCTAGTGAAGGAAATAATTTCTTTCTTTATTTCTTTTTCTTTTCCTTTTTGAGCCAGAATTTCACTCTGGTGCCCTGACTAGAGTGCTGTGGCATTGTAGCTCACAGCAACCTCTAGTTCTTGGGCTCAGGCAATCCTCTTGCCTCAGTTTTTCTATTTTTTTTTTTTTTAGTAGAGATGTGGTCTTGTTCTTGCTCAGGCTGGTCTTGAACTCTTCAGCTCAAGAGATCCACCCACCTCGGCCTCCCAGACAGCTGGGATTGCAGGCATGAACTACCACACCCAGCCCAAGAAATAATTTCAATTCGATTCAATCTGTAAGGTAAGAGGGTTATTACACATAGGAAACGTAGTGGGCCACTGAAGTTCACAGAGTGAAGAACCCAGGATTCCTTCTGTGTCTTTTTCTAAAGTGCTGCTACTTCCACTCATAAGAAGTGTTTTCATTTTATATCTATGGGCATTTGATATCATAGTAGTGACTTCATGGTTTAATATTTTCTTCCAAAGTATAAAAATGTCTTATGCTTTGAAACACATCCGCTAAAGAAAAGACTTTTGCAGTGGGAGGTGTACTGACATCAAAACATGGAAGAAAAAGCAAATCAGTTGGCCAAATAGTAGTTAGGTTGAAAATGGCTCAACACGAGGGGAGAAAGAAACTAAAGATAAAGGTATTACAAACAGAACATAACCTCGGCTTACCCCCATGCTGTCAAACAGCAAATTGCCCTTGTCCTTATCCTTTCCCTCTGCCCATTGCTGAGAATGCAGGAATCAACGCTGGGTCCTGCCAACTTCACATCCCTGCCGCAGACCCTGTACCTCCTCCCTCATCAGAACCCAACTGCTAAGACTTCTCATTTTCCTCCTTCTACACTTCAGCTAGTCTTACTGGGAAGGAGCTCATAAACTAATACATACATAATTTGTTACATGTGATGTTACATTACCTTGGGACTGTCTTCTCCCTACAGAAGAGAATAATGATTCTGATGACTGAGTTTTCCCCCTAGGTTTCCATCCATGGACCCACACATAAGTTTCTGTGTCACTGACAAATCAATTCCATACATTCATGTTGGAAGGCAGCCATGAAGATGGAACCTGGGAGGTGGAGGAAAAAGGAAAAAGGTTAAGTTAATCTTCAAAATAAACAGATAAGAGAATTTTTGGAAATGTAGGGCAAATGAAAGGTGTTGGAGTAGGGTGGGCAGAAGATAATTGAGGAAGAGGAAGAAAAAAGTAACAGATTTGTTTCTGGGAGATTGGTAAAGAACTGGCTTTAATTTTTTTGTTTGTTTGGAGACAAAGTTGTTCTCTGTCATCCAGGTACAATCATAGCTCACTGCAACCTCCAATTCTTGGGCTCAAGTGATCCTCCTGTCTCAGCTTCCCTAGTAGCTGGAACTACAGGCATGAGCCACCATACTCAGATAATTTTATTTTTTATGTATGCATTTATTTGGTAGAGATAAAGTCTCACAGTGTGCTCAGGCTGGTCTTAAACTCCTGGCCTCAAGTGATCCTTCCACCTTGGTCCTCCAAAGTGCTGGGATTACAAGTGTGAGTGATCAAACCCTGCCAACTTTGATAGTTTTTTTTGTTTTTTTTTTTTTGAGACAGAGTCTCATTCTGTCACTCTTGGTAGAGTGCCATGGCGTTACACCTCACAGCAACCTCCAACTCCTGGGCTAAAGTGATTCTCCTGCCTCAGCCTCCTGAGCATCTGGCACTACAGGCACCCACCACAACACCCAGCTATTTTTTGTTGCAGGTGCCACTGCTGTTTTAGCTGGTCAGGGCCGGGTTCGAACCCACCACCCTCAGTATATGGGGCCAGTGCCCGACCCACTGAGTCACAGCTGCTGCCCAACTTTGATAGTTTTTTAAAAACACAAAAATTAGAATGTAATCCCATTTTTATTACTAATGGTCATTTGGTCCTGGCTTCTATGAATGAGACTGTCTACATAGACCGGACCATACAAATCAGAGGTTAAAATGGTTATACAACAAGTTTAGAGTGTCTAATTCATCTCCATTTTTCCAAGACTCCCCTAATGTTAGCACTGAATGCCTGGGAGCCTTCAGTCTTTGTCAACTTGGGATGATTGCTTACTTTAAATTTTAGTGAAAAATAATGGCTTCATGGGTTACATTTCCTGGAAAAACAGTAAACCTCTTGTTTTTTCTCAGAAAGGTTGCAAAGGTTGAATAAGAAATTGTGATGGCATTTGCCCTTCAGTGGTGTCCATAGAAATACTATCTTTTTTTCTTTCTTTCTTTCTTTTTTTTTTTTTTTTTTTTTTTTTTTTGCAGTTTTTGGCCGGGGCTGGGTTTGAACCCACATCTGGCATATGGGACCAGTGCCCTACCCTGTTGAGCCATAGGCACTACCCAAAATACTATCTTTACTGTGGTGAAATGTATACACTTACAGTATCTTTTTCTAGAGTTGCAATTTTCTCTCTCTCCTGCTTGCAAAAAAAGACAAATACACTACTATTCAGAAAAAGAGATGGGGGGTGGAAATTAATGAAAAAGAAGGAGAAAGAGGAGGAGAAGAGAAAGAAATAGAAGGATAAAATAATGAAGTGTGTGTGTTTATATATGTTTATATGTGAGATAGTCTCGAATCTGAACCAGAAGTTCTTATCTGGGGAGAATTTCATTCTCCAGGGGGTATTAAGCAATATCCGGGGATATTTTGGGTTGTCACAACTGAAAGGGGTACATTACTGGCATCTAATAGATACAGGGTAAGGATCCTCTATCCTATGATGTACAGAACAAGCTCTCCACAACAAAGAATCGTCTAGCGCCAAGTGTCAATAGTGCCAAAATTGAGAAACCTTTCCCTAAAAGAATGCATCATTAGTAATGAATTAATACATTTCAGAAAATGTATAGGAGGAGAGTTCGGGGTGCAGCCTTCCAGTTTACCCTTAAATCACACTATATATTGACACTTAAAATACTAGCTGTTTTGGTGTCTAAAATGATACTGCTAGCATATAAGCAGAATAATAAAAGAACATAGGCAAAAAGAAAGAAATAGATGTCAATTTCTTTCATTTAGTTGCTCCAGGCTCAGAAAAAAAAAAAAAAAAAAACATGGATGTAGAAAATAATACTTTTCTCAAAGGTTTTCTCTTGTTAGGACAAATAGGTGTATCCCAATTGACTCAGAATCTATAAAAGATGTTGTTAAATTGAATAGAATAAGCAATTAGGAGATGTGAAGTTTGCCTTATGAATGACAGCACCAGCTGATTTATTCACTCAACGAGCACATTTCTTCACGGCAGGATTCTTGCAGGAACCAGGCATGCAAGGATGAACATGATACACTGAGGGTACAAAAAATACAATTCTTTATTGAAGGTGAACATTGTGTCATAGGAGCACAGCAAGGGAGGGACTCATCATACTTGAAAAATTCATCTCGGAATAGGTAAAATGCTCTCTGGGCCTGGAAAGATGAGTCAATAGAAGTAAATAATCCACCAGAGAAAAACAAGATAAGGACAGTCCAGGCCAAGGTTGCAATGTGCAGATCCCGGGGGCTTTAAGAGGTGAATACCTCGATCTTTGAGTAGGTCCTCTTCCCAGCTCACGGATATCATGGAGAAAAGAAAGAAGAGACTATGAATCAGAAATCTAGAAAAATGGGTATCATGGAGAAAAGAAAGAAGAGACTGTGAATCAGAAATCTAGAAAACAAAATTACTAGAATGCCTTTAAACCATTTCTCAAGACAAACAGCTTATTTATTCTTCCCATGACTGTCTTCTCCCAGTGTGGGTCTCAGCCCCTATGTTCTTCTTTCTCTGCATATTTCAGGTTCCAGCATATATCCCTTAGACCAAAGAAATGCTTCTGTCTTTGTGCTATGCACAGTTTATATCATTTAACATTCACTTGTAACTTTGTTATAGTGACACCTTCTCCTGGGTATAAATCATATGAGGTCTAACAATTAAGTCTGCAAACTCATCCTAGAAAAAGTGCTGCACACCTCCTCACTGGTGAGTGTCAGTATGGTCACCTTTGATGTCCTCCCCTGGGGAAGCTATGCACCTAGTTCACCCTTCAAAGCAATTTTGGAACTCTTTTTCTGGAATGACCAACAGAGTTGTCATCATATCACCCTCGATTTCCCAAATGTCATAAAATGTCTTCCTTTCAATATTTCCTTTATTTTCAGGTAAGGAAAAAAGTCATTGGGAGGCAGGGCATGGTGGCGTATGCCTGTAATCCCAGCACTCTGGGAGGCGAGGTAAGTGGATTACTTGAGGTCAGACGTTCAAGAGCAGCCTGAGCAAGAACAAGACCCCATCTCTAAAAATAGCTGGGCATTATGGTGGGTACCTATAGGCCCAGCTACTTGAGAGGCTGAGGCAAGAGGATTGCATGAGCCCAAGAATTTGAGGTTGCTGTGAGCTATGACACCACAACACTTTGCCAAGGGCATCACAGTGAGACTCTGTCTCACACACACACACACACACACACAAAAGTCAATTGGGGACATATCAGGTGAGTAGGGAGGGTTCCAATATAGTTATTTATTTACTGGCTAAAAACTTCCTCAGGGACAGTGCCATGTTAGCTGGTGCATCATTGTAATACAAGAGACATGAGTTCTTAGCCAAGATTTTCAGTTAAGATTTTCCTAGCTGTTTCTCTATAGATGTTTACTTGGTCTGCTGTGTTTCTCACAGTCAGTCAATGATTTTGATGCACAACTCAATGAATTTTTTCAATGATTTTGTCAGTTCTGCTTGTTACTGGATGCCCTGATCTCTCTTATCAGTTATACTGTCTCTCCCTTGAGAAAAACATTTAATGCATTTGTACACTGCCATTTTCTTCATGGCATTATCCCCACAAACTTGGACTAACATGTCCCTGATTTCATGTCACTCTTGCCACTTGTTGCAGGTTACCATATTAGACAAGAAAAGTCTAAAGGAGAAAGCATCTTGCTCTAGGACCCAGCTAGTACCAAGTGCAGCGAGAGTCTGGGCCTGGGCCTGGCTGATCCTCCTCTTCCTTTTGCCCCCACTATGTCTGCAAGACAGGATGCGATGTGTGAATGGCTCCTTACACACCTTCCTGCTGCCACCTGAAACCAACCAACCGTTCTCACCCAGTGTGGGGAACCTAATTTGTTATTCTAGCAGGACTATGACAGAGAAAGTTAAGGCCTAAAACTTTCAGTCCTGGTGGGGTGTGGTGGCTAACGCCTGTAACCCTAGCACCTTGGAAGACCGAGAAGGGTGGATTGCTTGAGTTCAGGAGTTAAATATCAGTCTAAGAGCAAGACCTCATCTCTAAAAACTAGGTGGGCATTGTGGTGGGCACCTGTTTCCCAGCTACTCAGGAGGCTGAGGCAAGAGGATTCTTTAAGCCCAAGAGTTTGAGGTTGCTATGAGCTATGACACCATGGCACTCTACCAAGGGCATCAAAGTAAGACTCAGCCTCAAAAGAAAAAAAAAAAAAGAAAGAAAGTAAAAGAAAAAAAAGAAAGAAAAATTCAGTCCAAAAAAGAATTTCCAACATTTCACATATATTTGAAGATAATCAGAGACTACAGGGTTAGTGTTTTCTTATACATCCACAGCTAACATTGACCCTGGTAGACTATTTTTTGGAAATAACTCTTTTGGTGCTAATCTCAAGTTGAATGACTTTGTATGATCATACGTTGGTTTGTGGGTAAGACGAGATGAACAATTTTATTTGGGTGCCTTTCTCCCTCCTCAGGACTCGTCAAACCAGCTGGAAGGTGGGAGTTCCTCAGCAACTTTCAGGCCAGCCTAGAGAAAGGATTTCAGTCAACACATTATTTCCTAGTCCTGATTTTTCTCTACCAAATTCTGCCCGAGATGACTTTCTTTCAGTTTAGCCAAGGGCTAGGAATGGGTCTAGAGAGGGGAAGTCTTTACACACCATGCCCAGCTAAATATTTCATTTTTTTTTTTTGTAGAGATAAGGTCTCACTTCTTGTTCAGGCTGGTCTCAAACTTCTATCTTCAAGTGATTCTGCTGCCTTACTCTCTCAAAGTGCTAGGATTACAGGCATGAGCCACCCTACATT